GACTGAATTAAAAATGGCAACACAAGCTTGTGAATTTGGGTAAGTGTGAGAATCCTGAACTAAAGGTTGCACTGTGTGAGGTGCTGCATCAGACTTCTTACACTAAGGGGGATGATGTAACCCTAACATGTACTAAGCAGATAAAATGATGGCAAACCAATTGGGAGGACTGGGTGAACCAGAAAAACACCTATTTCACATCTTTGATAAATATTCAGAAAGAAAGCTGGGGATAGGAAAGTGAGCAGCTGCTAATAAAAGCCTGAAAGCAAAAGAAATGAAAAAGAGGTCAGAGGCTACTAGAGGTAGTGTTTCTGCGTGGTTACTCACACTCCAGACACATCAGCTGGAAGTTGTTCACAGTAGGAAAAGAGTTAGCAATTGCTGATGCCATATCCAGATTGATGCAAGAAAGATGGAACCAGTCTGTCAACCTTATTAGGTCTCAAATGGCCAATTAAGTTGGACAGTGATAGCTCTGTTACCACTTCGGAAACTTCTGTGACCACCTTTAAGAGCAGTGACAAGGAAGCCTGCTACTATAATGCAGGGGTTCTCAGCCTTTTTGGACTCAAGGACCCTTCCATAATATCTGTGCATGGGGTGGCACCCAATTTCAAAAACTATTGTATGTATGAAAATGCTTACCTCCTTGCAAAGGGGCCAAGCAGTGGGGATAAGGGGCTGTCTAGGTAGGGACAAGCATGGACCTGCCTTATTTGCTTACCTACTTATCTCCTCACACCTTGTGGCCCCTTCAAAGGCTCTCATGGTACCCCGTGGTGCCCCAGCACGTTGGATGAGATCACTGATATAGAGGCTTTTTTAAGGTACTTGAAGATTCAAATTGCTATTAAAAAAACTAAGAGAGATGTCATGATTGTAGGAACCTGGGAGTGGGAACCGAAGCTACCAGACTGTCGTATGGGGGACAGAAGGCAATGGAGGAGAACAGGAGCCACCTAGCTAAGAAGCCCCATTGGCTCGGGTAGCTAGCTACCTGCGTGTGGTTTGTTACAGAGTTTACTGCAGCATCCCACCCAGGGCTCGTCTTGCAAACGTTACAGTATTATCCTTGCAGGACAAGTAGAGCATTTGCTAAACTGCCATACTCCCTGACTTCAAAACAGAGGTGAGGTGGGCAAGTTACTACCATCAGCCTTCCTTCTCAACTCTTTGAAGCACCCTGTGTCCTGGCCCTTAGAGTAACAGCAACTGTGAAGTGAGATCAGGTGCACAGAAGCAGTAGAGAAAGGTGGCACTTGCAGAAAAAGCATCCAGTGGGAGCCTAGGGGCAGGTCAAGGCCAGGATGCTTTGAGAAGCAGGGTCAGTCAGCCCCCTTGGCTGGCCAAGCAAAACTTTTCACAGCACTAACATATTAAAGTTAAAGGGAGAAAATGATGTTGTTCATTCACTTTTACTACAGCAGGACCTAAGGCCTCGTTGTGGTAGATACTGTACAAACAGGAGATGGCCTCTGTCTCAAAGAGCTTCCAGTCCAGAAAGACGAAGCAGAAAAGTGGTGGCAGAGAAAGTTTCCCTGTGCCCTGAGTGGCGTCTGGTTAGTTAACACCATGCAGGGAGATTGGAGAGCTCTGCCGTGAGTCATGGTAGGAAGTTGAGCATTTGCACCGTTAAGTAACAAATATGCAGTGAGAGAAAATGTAGGGACTGGTTCATGATGGTGTAAGTCAGAGAGCTTGCTCTCGAGTCAATGGAGTTAGTTACTTGATATAAAAGGTAGTAACAGCAGGGTCAAAACCTTAGCCCCACTGAAGTCATTGGAGTTTTGTCATCAGTGGTGTTGTTCCCCAGATTTCAGGCCAGGTCTACAAACTCTGGCTAGCAAAGCACCTTATAGACTAGTGATTCTCAACCAGGTGCCATGGCACCCTGGGGTGCCTATAAAGGGTGCCACACAACATTAGTACTCTTAGATGTGCAAATATGGCTTGCAACACAAACCTAGAGATTTCCAATAGGAATCTGGAGTGTATTAAAAACATGTTGACCAGTTTTTCATAATAGAAGAATTGCTTTATTATTTTTCTGTAGTAAAAAATTGAATGAAAATTAAGAGCTGGCGTTTTGTGAGGGGGGCCTTCAATTTAATGAGAAGCACCTTCAGTTCAATAAGGTTGAGAAGCACGGCTATAGACTAAATGAATCAGAAATGCCTAAGCTTTTGTAAGCACGAGCTCACTTCATCAGATGCTGTGAAAGGACATGCAGAGCAGGCTAGCAACCGGCGTGATTTGAATATAGGGGCAGAGAGGGGAGGGGAGGCAGTGCTGAGAGGCAAACAAGTATAAAAAAAAAAAAAACCACGAGAGAAAAGTAACTCCAACTTTGGAGAGGTTCACTGTGTAACAGACTCAGAGGTGCATTGTTTCCAAGCAGGAAGAGGCCAGGATTTGCTCTGTTCTGGATCTAGGCCAGTACCACTGGAAAGCAGGATTTGTTCCAACCTGTCTTTCCCCCAAGTAAAAAAAAGCCCTCTGAGTCATAGCTGAAGAGTCACCTGCTATACTCACAGACAGCTATTACTGTGCTGCTCTAGCGCTGGGAGCTTTAAAAGTGATAACTCCTTCCAGCCTCCCTCTGCAAGTGATGTTTCAAGCATGCGGGACACAAATTACAAGAGGAGATGCCGTGTGTGCAGCTAATTAGGTTGCTTTTTTACAGCTCTATCATGCAGAGGCCTGTGGTGAATGTACACACGCAGCTTCAGCTGGGCAAGTAGAGGTACAGAGGGAGACATAAGGTTTGTCCGCCCGCCATCCGGTCCCACAAATGCTCTGCAGATATGAAAATCTAGAATGAAGTGCTTGCGGAGCGGTTCCACAGCTGGAGCTATGCCTGTAAGACAATAGTTTTATGCTTCGGTGGGAGTGCCTGCCAGCTGCACAAACACTGCACCACGCAGGTCTCCCGCTGCACAGTCCATCCACTGCCCTGAATGCTGTTTCCAGCACTGTTATCGCATACTGGCAAACTGTGGTTCTGTGGCACGAGGGAAATACGCTCCTAGGACAGATCTCCAGCTACCAGGGAGCTCCATAGGCTTCTAAGTTGATTTACACTAGTTGAGAATATGGCCCCCCAGTAGGCATTTGAGGGTTTGGCTTAATACATGTACCCACTTCACACTTCTGTTCTGCTCCATCAGGAAGTTTGATCACTGCTCTGTGGCTCTGCTGTTATTTCACTTGCTTTTTGTCAGCTGGCAGCCATGTCTATAGAGCACAAATTTAAGCAAAATGATCACTTAAGAGAGTACCCTTGGGGCAGATTTAGCCATATGACTTTGCACACTGAGTAATTGCTCACTCTGAATTTATTAGGTTGTGTCTCAGTAAATCAGTCTTGCTTGTAAGGAAAGGCGGCAGCAGGCAGAACCCAGGATAAGTATGTATCTGGATGTTAGAACATGCTCTCCTGTCCTCTCCCTGCTACAGCTGCATCTTTAATTCCCCAATTCTCTGGTCTAATTAAATTTTTTCCAGGAGAGAAACCAGAGGGCAGGGATGAAGGGAGAGGAAATCCACGTGAAATGAGTTTTGCTAGTCTTGCCAGACACATTTGCAATACCAGTGGCACTAATTGCCTCCCTCTTGCTGGAGGTATCAGCAGAGAGGCCTGTTTCACATGAGGGCAAGGCATGCAAGACTGCTGGGAAGAGACAGTTTTATTTCCCTGTGCCGTTCACATGGCCCAGCTGGGTTCATGATCTGGGAGCACTCTGTGATGCTGGTACATTAGTGAAGCAACTTGCACACAATGAAGGGATGTTGAAACAAGGCAGTCATACCCTGCAAGCTAAAAAAAGGCAACCTGAGTGTTGATCTCCAAGCGCAGTGCATCAAGGCACAGTTCCTGTTCATGCTTGCTTTCTTTCTCGTGCCTCCATCCTGGCTCTGCCTGGAGTTTCTCATTTGTTGCCTTCACTACTTCCTCCAGAGCCATAAAAAAGACTTTAAAAGAGTCAACTTGGACTTCCAGTATTTTATTTTCATCTTCAGTGACTTCCTAATCACACTCACTGAAGTTTACAAATCAAAGGGATGATTCCTCTCTCCCTGAACTAACAATGCTGCAAATTCTACCTGGGACTTCAGATTGCGCCCCCATTCCCATCTCCACTTGTGCTTGCAGAAGCAAAGTTACAGTCAAAACAGAGCAGACACCAATTCACTCTCTGATAGCAGTATTGGCGTGATTTGATGTTCTTTGATTAAAATAACTAAAAGATATCTATGAAGTGCTCTGTAGGCCCTAACAATTGCTAGCAATACAATTAAATTTCACCAGTATTCAAATAATTAGCTCAGCTGGAGCTCTGCTAGCCAGACAGCTACAAAGACTACTTTCTGCCCCTTCATCATTATGGGAAGGCTGTTTAGCTTTCCTGGTAGACATTACCAAAGCAGATTTCTTTTGCAGCCTGCACAGAGGTCACCAGATTCAGACTCTTCTCAACCAAGGGTGGGGAAGGTAATGTATTTGTGTCTAAGCCGGGGTGCCCAGCCTCCCAGCCACATCCAGCCCACAGGGCTGTGTCACCTAGCCTCTGTGGGTCTGGACGTATGGTGGGGGGGGGAGTGGTGGCAGCCGAATTTCCAGACCTGTGGAATTTCCCGGGGCTGGATAACATAGCCTGGTGCATGGTCAGGCTGGTGCATGGGGTCTCTCTGTGGCCACATCTGGGCATGCAGGATCACATCCAGACACCAACCCCATAAGCCAGCACTGTGCAGGATATGGCCTGCAGACCAACCCCACGCCATGGGGCTAGAAGGTTGGACACCACTGATCTAAGCAATTACATACTGAAAAGCAGATAGTGGGTTAGATATAAAAAACACCATTATAATGAGAAGTTGTTCTGACTGCAGGACAGAGGTTTTGGTTTCTAGCAGACAGGCTTCTGCTGAAGTCAGTGGTGCTGGGCTAATTTACTTCCACTGAGCATCCGGCCCTGTGCTTCTCTTTTTTTTTTGTTTTCCAGGTAGTTCCTTTGAACACTGCACCATATAACCACATCTTCTATTCAAACTTCCCATTTTTTCTGGAGCCTGGAAAGATTAATTTAAGAACAGACACATCTTTCTCCACTGGTGGCTTTTACATGTATTATTCTATCCATGAAAGAGCTTCTAACCAACCTCATGCAGTATGCATTATTAAAGACAGGAATCGGTTACTATTAAAACCACTCTTTGCTGTGCATGTATTGAGAGAGTGGGGGAAAGGAAAAGAAAGACATCCATATTAAAGAGCTACAGAATTACACTAATGTTTGTAAGTCATCTGAACAGAAATACTCTCGTTTTAGCACAGAGACCTTTGGCCTAATTTCATTTGTTATTATAGTTTAATTGGATGTATCTCTCCAATCTGTTGCAATAGTTTTATGCCCTACCACAGCACAAGCCAGACTCCCATTTTCTAGTGGACACATTGCAGGTCACAGGGAATTTGTACATTTTGATTGTGTCGAAATCTGTATTTCAAGGCTATGAAGGCAGTTAGTAAAGATGATATCTACTTTCCCTTATAAATAACCTTGCAGAAACAAACTTGCTCCCATTTTATGAAAGTGTTTACATTCAGCATGTTTCGCGAGTGTATATAATGTGTAGATTAAGGAGCGGGAGGTTGTAGCTTATATTTTGGGTCTGGTAACTCAACTAGGGAGTCTGCATGGACCTGAGCAAGTTCTTACCAACTCACTGAGGATCTTTAAGATAAAGACCAAGACCCTGACTTCGTAGTCCATGGAAGAGGACAGGGTGAGGTGCTTATGGAAGCACAGACCTCTCATCAGAGAACCCCTGTTTCAAGTTACCATACAGATGTCTGAATCTGCTGGATATATTCCCCTCTGTGGCCCATGTGACGTTAGGATGTTTCCACAAAGTATTTTCTGCCATCTTCAGCCCTGGGCACACTGCAGAAGCTACGCTGGGAAATCATCAGGATAAAGGAATGAGGATAAACAGCATTACTGTCAAGGCAATGATGGAGTAATATGCTGTGATGATTTTAGCAGGTCCCTTGGGCCCCAGATAAAGGTGTAGTCACCAAGTGTCTCCTTTTTACTTGCCCAAGTCAATCTGACTTTCTGTGTACCTCAGCACAAATAAAATTGGTGGCAGCCTGGCACAGGAGAGAGGGGAAAGACCAGCATAGGGCTGTTAGCATCTATGGGCATGAAAACAGTTTGTGCTTAGGAAAGACCCAACTTTAATTTTGAGAACTTGGAGTTAGTTTAGACCCATGTTCCTCAGTCCCCCAAACCCTAAAATTTGGGAAGTGGGGAAGTGATCTGAGTTTTGTTTCTTCCTCCAAAGGAAATCCCCTCGTGGTGCCTCAGCAAATACGCTGCTGGAGAGCTGAAAGAGAAGTGGTCCTCATCTAACAGGTGGCACTGACTCACAGGTTGAACCACCGGTTTCCTGCTCTTCATAGCAGAGGGGAAAAAAAGGATGTATCATTTTTTATTATTTTAATGACAACCTGATATCTATTTGAGACAAGTTAGTGTTAGACAGGGAGAGAGGATTAAGACTGAGGCCAGATAAGAATATGGGTTTTATGCCCTTGGCGCAGAGTCTCTACCCTTCCTGGTTCAAATATTAACAGATCTTGAGGGAGTAACTGATAGCGCTCTGATATGGATGGTGCTTTTCTGCTTGAAGAAATCATGGCTCTCTGATATGCCTCAGGGACAGCTCTATCTACCTCCTGGTTCCTCTTCACAACACGCGCGCAGGAGCTTTCTCTTTCCCAAGAAACTGTTCCTGCCAGTCCTGACTTGTAGTCATTTGATTGCAAAACTGACCTGCAAACTTTTCTCTGCCAAGTGAAGGACATCAATTCTGGTGCTAACTTGAAGGACGGTTTCACAGTCCTGCCACCCAACTGACCAGATCAAAGGCCTTTTTATTTTCTGATGTGGATAATTAAAAAAGTTTGGGAGAGTGGGGCAGTGCGGGCTGCAGAGCAGGATGGAGGCAGCAGCTCTGGTGCTGTCACTGGCGCAGCCCACCCCGGGGGCGCTGCCAGCCCCTTTCATAGCATGGGGCCCCCCAAAGCACAGGGCCCGGGGCAGTCACCCCAATTGGCTGCACCCTAGGGATGGCCCTGAATGCACCCCCTGCAAACCAATACCATCATGCCTTTATACAAATCCCCGGGGTGCCTGCATCTTGAATACTGTGTACAGTTCTGGTCTCTTCGTCTCAAAAAGGATGTAGCACAATTAGAAAAGGTCAACAAAATGATCAGGGGTATGGAGCAGTTGCCATACCAGGAGAGACTAAAGGGCTAGGACTCTTCAGGTTGGAAAGGAGGCAGCTAAGGGGGGATACAACAGAGGTCTATAAAATCATGAAGGATGTGATCAAAGAGATGAGGGGATTGTTGTTCACCAAGTCCAGAATACAAAACTAGGGGGCACCTACTGAAATTAGTAGGTAACAGGTTTAAAACAAACAAGAGAAAGTGCTTATGTCCCGTGTAACTAACTTGTGAAGTCCATTGCCACAGGAGGTGGTAGAGGCTGGTAGCACAGCCAGTTGCAGAAA